ACCCACCCACCCAGCACCATCCCTCCTCCAGACTTGGCTACCCTGGCACCGACACCTAGGACTCTGGTTCTAATCCTGACTCTTCCCTTGGCTCCAGAGGTGACCTTGGCCAGGTTATACCTACTCTCTGGGCCTTTATGCTTTCTTCTTCCCATTCCGGTGTGCACTTTCTTTGGCTCCATGTTACTGTATTTCCTTTGTAATGGCCCCCCAAGAAGGAAATCTTGACCCCCTCCTCAAACCCCCAGGTGTCTTCAAAGTCCTGACATCCTCCTTAATCTTCCAGCTCTGTGACCCCACCCTGGAGAGGAGGAGCCACAAATTGGGATAGTAATGGCCCTGCTGATTGCATTAAGGGGTCCTAATGCAATATGTTCTCGTGGGGACCATCCATCAGATGAGAGGCCCTCCCCAAGTCCCTGCCACCCAAGTCACATTAGTGAGTCAGCCCATTTATCACTACAACACACCTCCATGGAGACTGGCCCAGACGGATGAGGGGCCAAATCAGATTTATGAGGAGGAATCCTGGGGAAAAAATCAGCCCCATCCATCTCTCAGACACCAAAGAGGTAGCCCTGGTCCCCACTCCCTCCAGTGCTCCATAGAGGGTCAGGGCAATGGAGCTAATAGGGAAGCCAGCCACAATGCCTTTGTTTCCTGAAGGCCCAGAGTGGCCTAGCACAACCCAGGAAGTGGCCTCTCTCCCAGTTCTGTTCTGAAGCAAAGCTCCTGCCAGGACCAGCAAACAGGCAGTGCTACTCAGATTCTGGGGACCCCAAGAGCATGCACTGAACAGAGTTCTCGAGTTTGGTGAACTACAGCAAGCAGAAGGTAGGAATTAGAGGCAGTGAGCCCCACTCAGGAATGAGACCAGGCTTGGGCCACATTTCCATGAAAGAGGTCTTGCTCTGGCCTTCTGACTGGGCGAAGGTTGTGCAGAGGGCTCATTGTAACTTATGCTGGGCAGCCAGGCCACTCCTGCAAACAGGAGGCCTTGAGAAAGTAAAGAATGGGGTGGGTTGTGGAGGCTGATCACTCCCCCTCAGGCACTAAGATTCGCAGCCCTTGAAGCTTGCTTGATTTGAAAGACACTACTTAAGAAAATCATGCACAATTATGATATACTAGGAATGCTTTTGGGGCCATGGAACAATCCTGTTCAGGCAAGGGTCCCCAAAGCTTCAGGCTCATCACCCTGAGCCACATGGTTTTCACTAATTATCATTAAAAAACAAAAACAAAAAACAAAAAACACACTACAGCCAATTGCCTCAGGAGGCAAGGCTTACCTTCCCTATTTTACAAGAAAATAAAAGTAGGTGCTGCAGCACACATCTGTCATCCCAGCACTTGGAACCTGAGGCAGAAGGGTGAGGAATGGAAGGTCATCTTAAAGTGCATAATAAGTGTGAGGTTAGCCTGGACTACATGAGCCCTTATCTCAAAAAAAAAAAAAAAAAAAAGGAAGGAAGGAAGGAAGGAAGGAAGAAAGGAAGGAAGGAAGGAAAGAGAGGGGGAAGGAAGAAAGAAATAAAGGAAAAGAAAGTGACTTGTCTAGGACTATGCAGCTTGTGAGAGATGCTGATGGGACCAGATCCATAGGCTCATCTTGCTGACCTGGGCCCCACTGCCAGGAAAGAGCTGCGGGACCATGAAGTTCAGCCCCTGAACCAGGGGTATCTGTGAGCAGCTGCAGGGAAACTTCTGAGCACAAGGTACCCAATAGAGAAGCAGGAGAGACTCACCCAGGGGTCCAGCTGTCTTCCCCATGGTTGACACCTGCCCTGAGACAATCAATGCCTTGTCTCTCTCACAGGCCTTACCCAGCCTGGGGCCAGGATGTCAGTAGTCAGCACCATTGTGTAGAAGCCTTGCTGAAGAATCACCTCTCATTTCCTTTTCCTTATGGGGGCTCCTGCCCTCCTCTTCCTGGGCCTCTAGTCTCTAAATGGTGAAAAGAGTTTCTACATGGTAGAACCTTTGCAACACAGAGCTGAGGACCAATGATGGGACTCTTTCAATGCCATATCCTCCTCCACATAGGGACCAACCACTCATTGTCTGGCTTTCTTCATCCCCAGCCTCACGTAGGGCTTACATGTGACCTCCTCATGTATTCAGTTTGCAGATTGGTCCTTCTTTCTACCTACCAGATCCTCATGCTCCTGCCTCCTTCCACAACGCTGTTACCCCATTCCTGAGCACTAGGGTAAGAGTGTGCGTCCCAGGCCACGCAGCCTGCACAAAACAACCCGGCCCTAAAGAAAGTTGTGCAGCCTGGACCCAGTCAGCTGGGGCTGAACAAGATCCACACCCACATCTTCCTAAAGTGTGTGTGTGTGTGTGTGTGTGCCACAAACAAACTCCCCAGTGAAACAGCAGTCTGTGGGGCAGGAAGCTGAGTCCAAGTGTGCCTCCCACACCACTCCTTCTGTGTGATGTGTGTGTGTGTGTGTGTGTGTGTGTGTGTGTGTGTGTGTGTGTGTGTGATGTGAAAATGCATTTTCAGGATCCCTGGGTTAGAAAGGGGCTGTGACTGCTAACTCTAGAGTCCCTGGGGAACATAGAGATTCTATTTGCTAAGGGAAAAAGACAAAGTGGTCATCTCAAGCAAGGTTAATTACAGTATGTTTGAGGCAAAGCCAGCCTCTTCTCTCTCTAAAACCTTTAATGTGGGTATTCTGTGAGACTCTAGCCTAAGCTACTTGCTCTCTCTGCTCAGGCTCGTTTTTCCAGTGTCTCCCATTAGCAATCAAGTGCACATGAGTTCCCCATCTGTCTTCTCCACACCCCAGACCTCCACAGCCCTCAGACAGCACCTCTGGAATAGCCTGAAGCCACTGAGAACCTAACCTTGTCTCAAACCAAACTCATGACCTTGCTCTCAAGTATCACCATTAGTTCCCTAGCTCAGGACATCTCATTGTCACCAGGCACCCAGCCTTCCAACCAGGACTGGGCAATCTGCCCCACAGTTCCCAGATGTGTTCACAGAGACAGCCCTTCTGGAGTCTGTGTCTGCTCTTCTGTCCTCTCCATGACTGGTTCTCAGGTTGTATGTTCTGGATTCAAGGCCCATCTTCTGGTCCAGGGACCCAGGTTTCGGTCCCAGTGTGCAGCTAGTGCCACTTTGACCAGCTGCTGAGTTACCCTGGGTCCTCTCGGTTAGCTGGAGTTGACAATGTCTGGCTCCAGGCTACCGTGAGAGTCGATGCAAGCATTCATGGCACACAGGCAAGCATTTTGTTGTGTGTTCTGGGATTAAGTTATTGTTATCATGGTTACTACTGTTGTCTCCTCTCATCCATTCTCTGCCCCATCAAATCACCCATAGATCAAGCAGACTGTCTACATTTGCTCAGGTTGGTAAAAGACAGAGTGAGTTTTGAGCCTAGGTCTAAATGTCTCTTCGGTTCTTGTTCTTGGACAAGCTACCTGCATGTTTGTAAACATGAAGAATGAATGCACATAGAACAGCAGGAAAGTGAAGAAGGAATGAAGCCAACAGAGTGAGCATTTGGGGCGGGGAGGCTGAGACAGGGTTTGGCTGTCCTGGCACTAGCTCTATAGACCAGGTTGGCCTAAAACTCATAGAGATCTGTCTGCCTCTGCCTCCTGAGTGCTCAGATTACAGGAGTGTGCCACCACCACCTGGCAGGAGTGAGAAATTAATGAGCATGTCCAAGAGGCCCCAGATGCCTGCAGAGAAAGGGTGTTGTTTGGCAATGTTACAGGAAGTAGGGGGTGAGTTGAGTAGGAGAAGATGTCGGTGGAGATAAGGTGGTAGAAAGGTTGGAGTCCTCCCAAGAGCTTTTTGGGGCCTGCTGAGTGGGGCCTCGGAGGAATCACAGGCATTATTAAAATGGTCCCGGTGCAGCAAGAGTAGCCGTAATGGGGAGATTTACTAAGTATGGTTCCTCGTATCTTTGGCCACCACACCAGCATCTGGCAAGGATTACGGAAAGTTGCAGCCTTGGGGACTCAAGTGAGCTTGGAGCTGGGGTGGAAGAGCTTGGGCTATCACAGGGTCTGGGATTCTGCTTTTCCATGTCCTTCTGAGAAGCAGAATTTTCAGGAACAGAGGCCAGAGGCAGGAGGAAGTAACCTGTGACATTTTTAACATGAGGAATCTGCCAACTAGATCTGCAGCTTAGCTGGGGGCAAGGGTACTAATCAGTGAGTTAGCTTGGAACAGCTTTGGAACAACACCCAGCAGCCTAGGGAAAGCAGGGGGTTTTGCTTCTCTTTCTATTGCTTTTCTCCTAGACTGTTGGTGTCTAGTTGCTACTCTGTCCTCTGTCCCTAGTGAGAAGCAGTTCAGTGCTCCTATGTACCCTCCTTCTGCCACAAACCAACCCTGCCAGTCCATCCTGGTAAAAGATGGAACCTGCATTAGCAAGGAGAACCCATCCCATCTCTGTCCCCATTGTGTCTCTAAAGAGAAGCTGAAAATTTCACTCCAGCTTGTTTGATTCAGTCCATGCCCAAGTGAACAGTGCTCTATTTACAAATCAACACACTAGTATTTCTGGGACCCCTGGGATTTCCGAAGCTCCAAAGGAGAGTGGAGGAAGCCGTTTGTAACACCAAGCAATGTGCAGGCAGGCTCATGTCATGCTCTGTCTGGCCCTTTTTCTGTTGGTGTTTTACCTTCTACAAAAGCTATGGGTTCCCTGTCACCCTTCCTTTTTTTCTCCTTGGATCCTGATTGTCCTTCAGTCCTTTGTCACTAAGTGTAACTTGATAAACTGAGCAGAAACACACTGCTGTCCCCATCCTTTCAAAAACCTGCTGCCAGAGAAAGAGCACAAGGGAAAGAGATCTGATGTCTTTGAGTGGACGTTTAAGCAGGAGTGCGTGTGCGCACGCGCGTGCGCACACACACATACACACACACACACACACACACACACACACACACACACACAAAAGAGTGGGGGGGGGGCTCATGCATACCAGGACATAGAGTTCCCTGGGGTGGGA